ACTAGATAGGTTACCTTTCAAGGCCAAGTAGTTCTGAATCTCAGTAATTTTATCAAGAATGAGGTTCTTCCTGTCTTTATTTTTTCCTACCTCTCTGCTCTACCATCTACAATGTGGGCCTCATTTTAAGGCTGGCTAGCTCCCCTTGTGGCCATAGGATGACTACATTGAGTCCACATGATTTTTTTTTAATTTAGGAGAAAGTATAAGTAGATTTCAGATGTTCTTCCGGAACATCAAGGAAGAACTATCCAGAAGCCCCAGGATTGAATCACATCCTAAACTGAGTTTCTTGCTCCTGCCTGAATCAATAATTGGCAAGATAGATACAAATACTCTTACAAAATCAGGCCTATCCCTTGAGCTAAGAGTGAAGTCAGCTTTTTCTGAAATCTAAGGTCTATGCTGGAGAAAGGTGGATATTTGAACAAAATTAGAAATCTGTTAGAAAAGAGGAAGAGGGAAATGGATACTGACAAGGCAGTCATTGTCCACTACACAGTTTATTTCTTCATTCTTTTTTAATGAATATTGGTCTCCAATTTGTATGCATCCTGCAAATACCATGTTTATACATGTTTCCTTCAAAATGTGTGTCCATAATTCTCTAGGACTGATACTTAGGAGTGGAAAAGAAAGGTGGAAGGGTATGCTAATTTCTAAATTTGAATAGGTACTACCAAATAGCTCTTCAAAAGGGCTACAACAATTATATTTCTACAAATACATACATATACATACACATGTATATAAACCTCACTGTAATGGGAGACAATAATACTAAATTTAGTTTAACCTACATTCCCCTGACCTCCCCTAGTGAAGGTGAGTATCTTACCCTACAACTGTTATCTGAACCTGGTCTCCACCAATCCTATGAAACTACATCAACATTTTTGCCAAGTCCAGTGAACAATTCTTAGCCTTTATTTTATTTCACTTCTCTTGTATTTAAAACCTTTGACCACTATGCTTTGACAGATCCTCTTTCTGTGGTTTCTGTGTCCCACACTCTTCCTCCTACCGCAGTGCTTCCTGTTCAGTCTCCTTAGGAGGGTCCTCTTCTTATGCTCATGTCTTAAAATGTTGGTCTTCCTCAGTGTCCTGTTGCAGGCCTTCCTCTCTTCTTACTCTAAGTGATTCCACAGCTGACTTAACTGCTTTTAGGGATTCAGCAATCATGTGTTCCCATATCTATATGTACACGTATAGCCGAGATCACTTGAATTCCTTTCACTTAGCAGCCAGCTACCTACTGAGTATCTCCATTAGAATACTCCCTGGGCATCTCAAACCCAGCCTGGGCATAGCTACACTGATTATAGCTTCTGCTGTTTTTTGTTTTGTTTTAAAAGTAAAGTTCACATAAAACTCACAATTTTAGACATTCTTACATCTACAATCCAGTGGCTTTTAGTACATCCACAATGTTGTGTTACAATCACCGATTTCAGAACATTTTCATCAACCTAAATAAAAACTCTGGACATTGATCAGTCACTCCCCATAGCCTCTGATAACCACTGATCAGATTTTTTGCCTCTGTGGATTTGCCTATTCTGGGCACCTCCTATAAACAGAAACACAGGATATGTGGCCTTCTCTGCCTGACTTCTTTCTCTTAACATGTTGTCAGGGTTCACCCATGTTGAACCATGTGATGGTACTTCATTTCTTCTTTGGATTATATATGTTATATGGCTATACCACATTTTATTTATCCATTCATCAGTTGATGGACATTTGGATTATTTCCACCGTGAATAATGGTACTGTGCACATTTGTGTACATATTTTGTTTGAACATGTTTTCAATTCTCTTGGATATATCGCTGGGAGTAGAATTGTGAGATCATATGATAATCCTATGTTTAACTTTTTAAGGAAATACCAAAATGTTTTCCACAGTAGCTACACCTACCAGCAAAGTCTGAGGATTCCAATTTGTCCACATCATTGCCAATACTTGTTATTCTCTGAGGTTTTTTTTTCTTAATAATACCTGTCCTTATAGATGTGAGCTGGTATCTCATTGGAGTTTTGATTTACATTTCTCTAACAATGATGTTGAGCATCTTTTCATGTGCTTTTTCTCCATAAATATATCTTCTTTGGAGAAATGTCTAGTTATAATCTTTGCCCTTTTTAAGTCTGTTGACTTTTTATTATTAAGTTTTAAGAATTCTTTATGTATTCTGAATTTAGACCCTTATCAGATGTACGATTTCCAACTTTTCCCCCCATTCTGTGGGGGTCTTTTCACTTTCTTTACAGCATCCTTAGATGAACAAAATTTTTAAATTTTGATGAAGTCCAACTTACTTTTTTTTTTTTGCTAGTGCTTTTGATTTTATATTTAAGAAACTGTAGCCAAATCTAAGGTGTCTTAGTGTGTTCCAGGCTGCTGTAGCCAAATGCCACAGACTGGTAGCTTTATGAGCAGCAGAAACTTACTGCTCGCAGTTCTAGAGGCTAGAAGTCCAAGATCAGGATGCTAGCATGGCCAGGTGAGGGCCCTCTTCCTAGCTGCCGCTTATATCCTCACAAGACAGAGAGGGGCTAGAAAGCTCTGTGGGATCTCTTTTATAAAAACACTAAACCCATTCATGAGGACTCCACCCTCCCTAATCATCTCCCAAATGCCCCACTTATTAATATCATCACCTTTGGGGATTATGATAACAACATATGAATTTTGGAGAGACAAACATTCAGACTTTGGAACAAGGTCACATAGATGAACCTGTATTTTTCTGAAAGTTTTATAGTTTTAGTTTTTACACTTAGGTCTTGGATTCATTTAAGTTAACATTTGTATATGTTGTGATATAGGGGGTCCAGATTCATTTTTTTTTTGTATGTGGATATCCAGTTATCCCAGCACCATTTCTTGAAAAGACTAATTTTTTCTCCGTTGAAAAGTCTCAGAACTCTTGTAGAAAATCAACTGACAAGAAATGAATGTTTCAAGACTGCTATTCAAGGTTCCTTGCAATTCCACATGAATTTTAAGATCAACTGTCCATTTCTACAAAAAAAAAAAGGTAGTTGGAATTTTGATAGGAATTTCATTGAATCTGTAGATAAATCCGGGGAATACTGTCATCATAAAAATATTAAGTCTTTCAATCCATGAACACAGGATGTCTTTCCATTTATTTTTATCTTCTTTAATTTCTGTCAATAATGTATTGTATTTTTCAGTTTATAAGTCTTGCATCTCTTTGGTTAATTTTATTCCAAGGTAGTTCATTCTTTTTCATGTTATTTTAAGTGGGATTATTCTCTTCTGAAACCATGAAACTCCTGGAAGTAATTAAACATAGCTAGCAAGCTACTTGACATCAGTCTTACAATAATTTTTTTGGATCTGACACCAAAAACAAAGGCAACAAAAGCAAAAATAAACATCAAACTAAAAAGTTTCTGCATGGCAAAAGAAACCATCTATGAAGTGAAAAAGCAACCTATTGAATGGGAGAAAATATTTGCAAGTCATATATCTGATAAGGGGTTAATATCCAAAATACATATAGAACTCATACAACTCAATAACAACAACAACAAAACATCCAATTAAAAAATGGGCAGAATACATATGCAGCAAAATGAATGGACCTAGAGATTATCATACTAAATGAAGTCGGTCAGAAAGATAAATACCATATAATATCAGTATGTAGAATCTGAAAAAAAAAGATATAGGGGGAGGGTATAGCTCAAGTGGTAAAGTGTATGCTTAACATACTCAAGGTCCTGGGTTCAAACCCCAGTACATCCTCTAAAAATAAATAAACAAGTAAACCTAATTACCTCCCCCCCAAAATTTTAAAAAATAATTAATTAAAAAAAGATACAAATGAACTTATTTACAAAACAGAAACAGACTCGCAGACATAGAAAAAATGGGTTACCAAATGGGAAAGAGGGGAGAGAGGGATAAATTAAGAGTTTGGGATTTGCAGATACAAACTACTATATTTAAAATAGATAAACAATAAGGTCCCACTGTATAGCACAGGGAAATATATTCAATATGTTGTAATAACCTATAATTACAAAAAATATAAAAAAGAATATATATATAAATGTATAACTAAATCTCTATGCTGTATACCAGAAACTAACACAACATTGTAAGTCAACAATACTTCAATTTAAAAAAAACCCCAGAATATCTGAATAGACATTTTTCCAAAGAAGACATACAGATGGCCAACAGGTACATGAAAAGATGCTCATCACTAATCATCAGGGAAATACAAATCAAAACCACAGTGATATATCACCTCACATTAGTTAGAATGGCTATCATCAAAAAGACATGAGGTAAGAAGTGTTGGTAAGAATGTGGAGAAATCGTGCACTGTTGGTGGGAATGCAAACTAGTGCAGCCACTATGGAAAGCAGTATGGAACATCCTCAAAAAATTAAAAATAGAACTACCATAGGATCCAGCAATTTCACTTCTGGATATTTATTCGAAGAAAATTAAAACATTAATTCAAAAAGATATATGCACCCCCATGTTCATCGTAGTGTTATTTATGATAGTCAAGATATGGAAACAACCTAGATGTCCATCACTGGATGAATGGATAAAGAAGATGTGAATGAAATATTATTCAGTTATAAAAATAATGAAACCTTGCCATTTGTGACAACATAGATGGACCTTGTGTGCATTATGCTAAGTGAAGTAAGTCAGACAGAGGAAAACAAATACTATATGCCTTCACTTTTATGTAGAGTCTGAAAAACAAAAGAAAACAAAACCAAGCTCAAAGATGCAGAGAACAGATTGGTAGTTTCCAGAGGTGGAGTTTGAGGGTGGGTAGAATGATGAAGGTCCAAAGGTACAAACTTCCAGTTATAAAATAAATAAATCATGGGGATGTAATATACAACATTGTGACTATAGTAAATAATACTGAATTACATATTTGAAAGTTTAAAATAAATCTTAAACTTTCTTATTACAAGAAAAAATTGTAGCCGCGGCTCCTGAGATTTGGCCAGGCCCTTGTCGCCTTCGCTGTCGCCGCCGCCGCCATGGCTCAGTACAAGGGTGCAGCGAGCGAGGCGGGCCGCGCCATGCACCTGATGAAGAAGCGGGAGAAGCAGCGCGAGCAGATGGAGCAAATGAAGCAGAGGATCGCCGAGGAGAACATCATGAAATCCAACATTGACAAGAAGTTCTCTGCACACTATGACGCCGTGGAGGCAGAGCTCAAGTCCAGCACCGTGGGTCTGGTGACTCTGAATGACATGAAGGCGAAGCAGCAGGCACTGGTGAAGGAGCGGGAGAAGCAGCTGGCCAAGAAGGAGCAGTCGAAGGAGCTGCAGCTGAAGCTGGAGAAACTGCGAGAGAAGGAGCGCAAGAAGGAGGCCAAGCGGGAGATCTCCAGCCTGTCCTTTACACTGGAGGAAGAAGAGGAGGCAGGCGAGGAGGAGGAAGAGGTGGTCATGTATGAGGAGGAGCTGGAAAGGGAAGAGGTCACCACAAAGAAGAGGAAACTGGGGAAGAATCCAGATGTGGACACCAGCTTCCTGCCTGACCGAGACCGGGAGGAGGAGGAGAATCGGCTCTGGGAAGAGCTCCGGCAGGAGTGGGAAGCCAAGCAGGAGAAGATCAAGAGCGAGGAGATTGAAATCACGTTCAGTTACTGGGATGGCTCTGGACACCGGCGAACAGTCAAGATGAAAAAGGGCAACACAATGCAGCAGTTCCTGCAGAAGGCACTGGAGATCCTGCGCAAAGACTTCAGTGAGCTCAGGTCAGCAGGAGTGGAGCAGCTCATGTACATCAAGGAGGACCTAATCATACCCCACCACCACAGCTTTTACGACTTCATTGTCACCAAGGCACGAGGAAAGAGTGGGCCTCTCTTTAACTTCGATGTTCACGACGATGTGCGGCTGCTCAGTGACGCCACAGTGGAGAAGGATGAGTCGCATGCAGGCAAGGTGGTGCTGAGGAGCTGGTATGAGAAGAACAAGCACATTTTCCCCGCCAGCCGCTGGGAGCCCTACGACCCCGAGAAGAAGTGGGACAAGTACACGATCCGGTGAAGGTGGAGGTGCACGGTCCCCCTTTCCCCGCGGCTCCAGGACTCTGGGCACCTGGCCCTCTCTCTGAGACAGGATGGGCCAATCATCTGCTGCCCCGGCGCTGTCATTACTGCTTTTTTCTTTTATGATAAAGAAACGTCCATGTCAGTTGGAGCACCTGCACTGTTTCATTGAAAAAAATTTTTTTATCGAGATAAAACTCGCATAATGTGAAATTCACCATTTTGACCACTGGCAAATGTACCATTCAGGGTTGTTTAGTACATTCACACTGTTGTGAGTCACCCCAAAAGGAGACCCCACATCTGTTAGCAGTACCCCCCAGCCCCTCACACCCCCAGACTACTTTCTGTCTGGATGGATTTGCCTGTTCTGGAAGTTTCGCATAAATGGAATGATATGAAAAAAAAAAAAAGAAAAAATTGTAACTATATATGGTGATGGATATTAACTAGTCTTATTGTGGTGCTTATTTTGCAGTGTATACAAATACTGAATCATTATGTCACACACCTGAAACTAATATAATGTTATATGCCAATTATACCTCAGTTTTAAAAAATGACTTGGGAGATGTTGTCTCTTCCATTTTCTAGAAGAATTTGTGTGGAATTGTGTAGAATTAGTATTGCTTCTTCGTTAAGTGTTTGGTAGAATCCAGCCGCAAAGCCATCTGGGCTTGGAATTGTCTTTGTGGGGAGGTTTTAAACTAAAATTCAACTTAATGGATAAAGGGTTATTTAGGTTGTTTCTCCTTGAGTCACGTTTGGCAGTTTGTGTCCTTTAAGGAATTCGGCCATTTCTTACAAGTAGTAAATTTATTGACATAATGTTATTAATAATATTTCTTTATTATTATTTTATTGTATATAGGATTTATAATGGTTTTCTTCCATTTCATAATGGTTTCTGTGTGTTTTCTTTTTCTTTTTTCTTTTTTTGTTAAGTCTAGATATAAATTTATCTTTTAAAAATCCTTTCAAGGAAACGTCTTTTGGATTATTTTCTCTTTTGTTTTCTATGTCATTGATTTCTGCTCTGATCTGAATTATTTTCTTCTCCCTGTTTATTTTGGATTTAACTTGCTCTTGTTTCCTAACATCATAAGATGGTAGCTTAAATAACTGCTTTGAGACCTTTATTCTTTCTGAGACAAGCATTATATTCTACCAATTTCTCTCTAAGCATTGTGTTTATTTCTTGATTTTTCATTTTCATTTAGTCCAGAACTTTCTAATTTCCCTTGTGGCTTCTTTGACCAAAGCATTGTTTAGAAGTGCATTATTTAATTTCCAAATATTTGCGGATTTTTCAGATATATTTCAGTTATGTATTTCTAGTTAATTCCATTGTGGTCAGAGAAAATATTTTATATGACTTCAATACTTCTAAATTTATTGGGACTTGTTTTATTGTCCAACAGAATTTAGCTTGATGAGTATCCTGCGGGCACTTGAAAAGAATGTGTATTCCACTGTTGCTGGGTAATGTCACTATGTCAAGTTGGTTGATAATGTTATTCACATCTTCCATATCCTTACTGATTTCCTTCCTATTTTTTGTGTCAATTATTGACAGTGATATAAAAATTTCCAACTCTATTTGTGGATTTGTCTATTTCTCCTTTCAATTCTTTCAATTTTTGCTATCTATCTGTCTATCTATCTACACACACATATATAGAAGTATAGTTGATTTACAATGTTGTGTTAGTTTCTGGTATACAGTATAGTGATTCAGTCATACATATTATATTTTTCCATATTCTTTTTCATTAAAGGTTATTATAAGATATTGAATATAGTCCCCTGTGCTATACAGAAGAAATTTATTTTTTTGATCTATTTTTGTATATAATGGCTAACATTTGCAAATCTCAAACTCCAAAATTTATCGCTTTCCACCCCCTTTGCCCCAGTAACTGTAAGATTGTTTGCTATATCCGTGGGTCTGTTTCTGTTTTGTAGATGAGTTCATTAGCATCTTCTTTTTTTCTTTTTTTAGATTCCACATATGAGTGATATCATATGGTATTTTTCTTTCTCTTTCTGGCTTACTTCACTTAGAATGATGATCTCTAGGTCCATCCATGTTGCTGCAAATGGCATTATTTTATTCTTTTTAAAGGCTGAATAGTATTCCACTGTATAAGTATACCACAATTTCTCTATCCAGTCATCTGTCAATAGACATTTAGGTTGCTTCCGTGCCTTGGCTATTGTTTATAGCACTGCTATGAACATTAGTATGCATGTATCTTTTGAAATTAGAGTTCCCTCTGGATATATGCCAGGAGTGGGATTGCTGGATCATACATATGTCTTTTTTTAGTTTTCTGAGGAATCTCCATACTGTTTTCCATAATGGAAACTACAAACTACATTCTGTGGGTTTACAGGTTTCAATAAATTTGGAAAACTTTTGGCCATTTATTTCTTGAAATATTTTCTGTCCTCTCTCTTTCTCTCCTTTCCTTTTGTGATATCAATACATGAGATTGCTTGATACTGTTCTGCAGATTGCTGATGTTCTGTTCATTTTTTTTCAGTCATTTTTCTTCCAGTGTTTCATTTTCAGAACCTTCTATGGCTATGTTTCCCCTGACTCCGCCCTGTAGTGTTTAATCTATTGTTAATCCTACATGGTGTATCTTTCATTTGAGATAGTGTATTCTTAATTTCTAGAAGTTCAATTCGCTCTTTCTAAAAATATATATATATATGTGTGTGTGTGTGTATATATATATATTTATATACACTTCTCATGCTTTTCTCTGGCTTCTTGAGTGAATGGAGGATATTTGTCATAACTATTTTAATGTCCTTGTCTGCTAATTCTGTCTCCTGTGTCATGTTTGGTTCTGTTTTTGTTCATTGATTTTTCTCCTGCGTATAGCTCAGATTTTCTTGCCTCTTTGCCTATCTGGTAATTTTTTATTGGATGCCAGATATTGTGAATAGCCTATGTTGTTACTTACTGGATTTTGTTTGATTTCTTAATGCACATTGGACTTTGTTATAGGGTACAGTTAAGTCATTTGGAATTTGTTTGATCCTTTTCATGTTGCTTTTTAAACTTTGTTAGCCTAGGTCCAGGGCAGCCTAGGCTAATTTGACCTCATTACTAAGGCAAAATCTTTCTGAAGTCTCTTGGATGTCTCAATTATTTATTTATTTATTTTTGGATGTCTCAGTTATTAAAAAGTCTTTCCACTCTGCTGGTGGGAACATAAAATATCCAGGCCCTGTGTGAGTTGTAGGAATTGTTCTATTCCCCCTGACTCCTTTTCCCAGCCTCAAGTAGTTTCCTCATATTCTCACACAAAGACTTGCATAGGACCTGTCTATGGATCTCCTGAGTTCTGAGAAGTTCTCTCTTCTCTTGCATTTTCCATTTTCCTCTGTAAATCCTAGTTCTCATAACCTCCACATACTCTGAACTATGTCTCGTCGACAAAGTGAAACTGCTGGGATCACTTTGGGTTTCCCCTCCCCACACTGCAGCTGGAAACTCTCTCCAGGTAGTAACACTGGGGCAAGGCTCACCTCATTTGTTTCTCTTTTTTCCGAGATCAATGTCTTTTGCTGCCTGATGTCTAATGTCTCAGAATCATCATTTCATATATTTTGCCTAGTTTTCTATTTGCTTAAGGTTGTGGGGTGGGTAAATCTGATTTATGTTACTTCATTATGGCCAAAAGCCATCATTGAATTTTAAAGATTAATTATTGCAATTTTTTCCCCTAAAAGTTTTGCCTGGTCGTTTTTCATGTCATAATTTCTTGCTAGTTTTATCAAACCATTTCAATGTTTCTCCGTATATAATTAATATATTTGATAATTAAAATAACTAAGAGTCTCAGGGGTAAAAATTTCTTGCTTCTTACTGATTCTTATTCATTGGGACTTATTCTCTAGCTTATATTTAGCTTAAGATCATCTGTGATAATACTTAAGAGCTTGGGTTGAGGTTGCTTTCCTCCAGAGAGTATTTCATTTGTACTTGCTGTGTGCCAAATTGCACTACCAGCCTGGGGTCACTTCAATTCAAACCTCAGACTGGTAGAACTATGATGATAAAACTATGTTTAAAAATTCTAAGAAACTTTTATGACAATTATCATTATTATAAAATAGTCCACCTGGAGTCACACACACTGACAGGTTTCTTTTTTTCCTCCCTTTGCTGGCAGGTAAATTGCTTTTCTTTCCCACCCTTTGACTCCAAGCTTTCTTTTTCAAGGGCTGTCTTTTATTGTCCAGAGTTTAGCCAGTCTCCTGTTCTTCTCCATAGTTATTAGTTATCAAGACTCTAGGATAGTTCCCCAGGGCTTCCCCACTAATTTACCACGTTGGGGTTTTTAACTTTCTTTCTTTACTTTCTCTTTTTAACACTTGGGGAGTCCTCTTATTTTCTTGTCAGTTTAATAATGCATTTAAATGTATATTTGTTGTAGTTGATCCAACATCTGAGTACTCTGCTACACAAGTCTTTTTAGAATGCCATGTCAGGCATACTTAGGGAAATGGAAGTCTCATTCTGAATTCCAAACTGTTCTTTCTTCCTTCCTTCCTTCGTTTCTTTATGGTTACTCTTGACTTGGTCCACGGTCACACCACTGATTTAATGAATGTCTCAACAACACTTACACAACAGGCATCTCTCTAAACATAGAAAAGAGATTACAGGTAGAGCACACTCTCAGTTGCAAATTCTGCTCTATTCACTGCTTTTGGATGTCAATTCTAAATTCCCCGGGCAGAGATTCTGACTGGTACAGCTGGGGATCAGGCTGATACAATACAAATGTGATTGGTCTGGGCCCATCTCTGTGGGTTAGAGTGGCCTTTTCCAGAGAAAGAGAAAATTATGCACTGAGAAGTTACTTTGGAAGGTATCTATTTTACCTTTTCTATCTACTACAGAGCTTCAAAAGAGTTCATCATTATACAGGTCCAAATGACATAACTGTTTTAGCTTTAGTAGTAAAAATAAAGGGACAATGTTTAAACACTGCCTGAATTCCTATGTTGAGTATAACTTTTGGTCATATTTTTGGTTTATTCTCTCAACTCATGGAATGGTCCACATGGGCTTTCTAGTACCTTTTTCACAGAGAAAAAGTTTTTAATTTGATGAGGTCTAATTTTATCAATTTTCTCTTTTATGAATTATGCCTTTGGTGTCTTGTTTAGGAGCTCTTCTCCTAGCCTAGGTCTCGAAAATTTTCTCATATGTATTCTTCTTAAGGTTTTATAGTTTTGCATTTTACATTTAAATCTATGATCAATTCTGAATTAATCTTTGTGTAAGGTATGAGGTTCAGGTTGAAGTTAAATTTTTTGTGTGCCTATTTTTTGTCCAATTACTTCAGCACCATCCTTCCTTTAGGACAGAGGAGAGATTATCCTTCTG